ACTAATGTTAGTGAGCAACATGAAAAAACACCATTAGTTAATGTGACAATTACTTTGATCGAGCAGCCAAAACCGAGTAAACATACATAACAGGCAGTACAACAAAATACATATGCGTCAGATAAGGCATATTAAAACTTACATATTTTATATTATACATCAATGTGACGTTTTAATTTCCATATATCAATTATAGTGAAAGAAATATTAATGGTTTATAATGTGAATATTAATCTACATGTATATAGTAAAATACAACTTCCTATTTCAAATACCTTTTTCGCTTTGGATAACACATGTAGAGAAACAACTATTTAAAGCTTTGAAATTAAACGACAAGGAAAAGTTAATGAAATCCCGTTTAAGATTTTTCCCACCATTCATCCATGTCGTCTCACCTTGCATAACAGACATATTGTATGAATTGCTTATATTATCTGGTCTTGAATATAAAGGACTAGAAACCATTTAGAATTAATTCGATAGTAGGTTATGCAATGCAGACATACCAGGATAAACGGCTGGACATTTTGTCCGCCACTAGAAATGAGTGGTATGATGTGATTGCCAATGAGGCAACTCTCCACAATAGACCAAATGACACCAGTAAAAGAAATAAAAAACTAATATAATGAAATATGTAAACAGCTCTCTCACAATTAGTCTTGTATCAGTCCACATACGGACAACTCAAAGGGGTATCGCAATGTTCTATAACGTGGATAGAACGTGGCACTATCATTACACGCTAAATTCGGACTGGACGCATACATTTCATATCTAAAAACTTGGTCAAACATTACTTTCAAGATTAATTTCAATTATTTTAAAGGAAGGAGCCAAACATAGTTTTCTACAGTTTTCGAAGATATGAAAAAAGGGCATTATCAGTAAACATGAGTTAAAGTCAGTGCGCCAGCAACCTAATACACAGGATTAACACGCATTGCCGTCTATTGACTTTGTGAGATATTGAACATTCAAAGGATATCAGAATCATTGTTTAGTTTGCTCAAATTTATAAATTTAAATAAATGACTGATAAAATTCAGGGGCGTAGAAACTGCGGCCAATATATAAGCATCAGTATAATGTAGGACCGTGAATGCTTAAAGTGGTATGACCTTTAAATACAACATAAAGGGGGTAATACTGGAAAATATGCAATGTCTTCATTTAAGACGACATACGCTTAAACAAACAAATCAGAAGGAACATTGGTATTTAAGTTTCGTTGATTTTATACATTTTATGTCTATATGTCGTAGATTATTGAAAATAAATGTTTTTAATTTCAACAAAAAGTAAACATTGAGCGGCATTATGTTTTGAGATTCGACAGACACCATACCAAAGTTATTATTTATTATAAAGTGAACTTTTTCCATTGATTTTCAATTTAGCTTTGAAAATTAACATTAAGACTATTTTATCGTAGGTAAAACACATTGAAAGAGGGGTAACCCTGCAATTTTTCAATCAGACCACAAGCACAATCAAATTACTGACGTACTGTTTACTCGGATGAACCTTAAATCCGATGGCTGGCAAACATCCATCTCCCTATAGATCACCAGAAGAAACGTGCAGTTGTTTTTCTCAAGCCGACAATAATTAATTTGCAGTATATTCCATAATTCGAGTGCCGAACATTGCAGACACATTCAACACGATTACATACTACATGTATGTTTAACATTTGATCAATTTGCTAGGTATTGTGGTCACAGAGGATCGAAACGAACAACCAAAAAATAAATAAATGTGTTTTGAACTGTCTCAAGACTGAATAATGCATGTAATGATTGTTTGCAATTTGATCAGACGTGATTGTGTATAAAACAGACTATCCGTCTCCAATACGAGAAGTTTAAGTGATTATAGTTCCATTCTTATGTGACCTTTGCTTATGTAAAAAGAATGCGTGGGTTGTCCGTTTTCCTTTAAGGTAAATAATTTCCAATATCAAAAGATGGCAAATCAATATAAAATGTATCGACATATTGTATTTTAAAGATTGCTAATCAAGGATGATTTTAAGAAAATAAATTTTTATCCAATTTTTATTTATTGCTCTCTCGTTTTTTTCCAAACAAATCGTTATACATTTAGATATGAATAAGATGCATGACGTAATACGGCTTTTTCGATAACGTGCAGTTTGTCATAGAAAATTGATCGCATGACCCATACATATGTTAAATACATTGAGATATATACCGAACTCTAAATAAAATATTAAGAGTACATGCCGAACTAATTTCAATTATTTTTCACATTATCCATTTATTATGAAATACATATTTTTGATATTTAGTCATAGATACTTAAGTTTTTTTTTTATTAGTTGTTATTGACTTTGAACTAGCTGTCAATAACTGCGAGTACTCTCAGGTCTGCACTTAGTGTCTTTTTTGTTGTGGGAATGTGAAAATAGCCTGCCACGTCCGGTCAATGTTTTTTGTGACTTGTTTTTCTGTTTTATATCGATCTGAAAAGTTCAGACCTTTTCAGCTGATTTTTAAAGTTAGTTCATATGTTGTGCTGTTACACCACTGTCCCAGGTTAGCAGAGGGTTTGGCGCCCGCAAACTAGTTTAACCCCACCATATTCTGTATGTGTCTGTTCCAAGTCAAGAGCCTGTAATTTAGTAGTTGTCGTTGGTTCATGTCTGTCATATTTGTTTTTCGTAAATTGTTTTGTTATAAATTAGGGCGTTAGTTTTCTCAATTGAATTGCTTCATATTTTTCATGTCGAGGTTTTTTATAGCCGACTATACGCCTTAGAGTATTGGATTTTCTCATTGTTGAAGGCTTTGTGGTTGCCTAAAATTCCTTACATTCACTTCATTTCAACTCTGGTGGAAAGTTGTCTGTCTCATTGACAATCATACCACATTTCTTCATTTTTTATATGTATATGCTATACAATTTTACGTTTGATGAAGAAAGAAATTTACCATTACTAAGGAGAAGCATATTTCATAATTTTGAGAAGAATACCAATTAGTGTTTGTCGAAACGAAAAAGATGACAAGACAAAGTACAATCATGTAAACCAAATATTGAAGAACAATGAATCGAAAATATATTTGATCAAGTCAAGTCCTCTGGTAGGTTGACGTTTTTGCGCCAGTTGTGACACATGTCATTGTGTTCATGACTTTAAGATATATTTGTAATAAATTGAATTAGTAAAAATGAAAAAAAGTTGGAGCAGACAAAAACAGTGCATGTAAAACAATGAGACAAAGGGATGTCTTTAGTTTGACTTACAAAAACTCATCAGTGATAACGCTCTGATAATTTGGTACATCAGACGCGCGTGTTCATCTTCTTGAAATTTATCAGTTGCGTTCAAATCGAAACTGTTGGGAGGGCAAATCAAATACTTAGTTAGAGAGCACTAAATTCGAGAGTTCGTAACTATGACTTATGGTATGACAAGGTTATCGAAGACGCTAGTAGAAGCAAACACACGTATAGGAATTGAAATGATTGCAGCAAAATTGACTTTATTTAATATTTGTTTTGTCAACGTACCAAACAGGAAGGTGTCACCAAACTATCCTTATAAGACAATGACTGAATTACAAGCTTATGATTTGTGACAATATAAAAATAAGAAGGTGCTGTACGATTATCAATAGGACAACTTGCCACCACAGACCAAATGACACAGAAACCAATAACCATAGGTCACCGTACGTTCTTCACTTGTGAGCCAACATATACCGTTTAGCAAGCTATAAAAGGCCCAAAAATAACGAATGTTCAACAATTCAAACGGTAAACCCAACGGTCCGATCTATGCACTTAAAATAGTACAGGCACATACAAATATGGTGTGGCTAGAAAAGCCTGTGGGCTACCCCAGATCCCTTCCTCCAAAGCCCCCCCCCCCTAAAAAACAACAAAAAAATCACCAACATGGGACATCTGTTTAACAGAACAAGACAAGAACACACCACAAAACTCAGTTGAAAAGCTTAATTTTTCAGAACGACACACGCATATAAAAAAGGACAAACAAAAAAGTCATCTAGTGCCCATCTGGTAGCACTTGCAGTCAGTGACAGCTTGATCAGAGCCATTAATAACAAATAACAAAATCAAGTTTCTAAGACAGCAATATCAATCAGTATACATTTAATGAATTTAGGGTAAAAACGTCAGAAATAATCATAAAAAAACATAACCCTGTGCATACCAAAATATAAGCATCGACATAATGTAGAACCGTGAATGCGCATAGCTATATAACCTTTACAGAAAATATAAGGAGCTCAATACTAGAAAAATATTCAGAATCTCCATTTAAGACGACAGTCGTAAAACAAAAATGTACTCTTGCTATGAGAGTGAATTATTTGAATCAGAAGAGAGCCGTAAGTTACACACTTCATTGGTTTTATTCTTTCTATGTTCCATATTATTAAAAAAGGGTTGCGTTTAAGTTAAACTTCATTTCAGATAAATACAAACCGTAAATCATGAGCTGCATTTTGTTTTGACAAGAGACAGACACCATATGCTAAGTTCTTATCTAATTTAAAGTGAAATACGTATATCTATATTTTCAAATTAACTGTGAGAAATAACATTCAAATTACACATGCACTATTTTATCGTAGTTAATATCTATTTAAAGAGAGGTAACTCTGCATTTTTTCAAACAAAACCAAAAGCACATACAGATTATGGTGGTGTTAAACATGTTTACGACCACTCAACCCTCTAACTAACCCAGGATACTGGTGAAAAAGCACAACATAAGAACAGACGGTAAAATCATTTAGAGATGAAATGCAAAGGTAAAAAAAAAATTGAGAAAAAGGTGTTATTCGCATGCATTTATTTCGAAAATGTTGAAAATTATTTTTATACATAAATTTCAAACCTCGCTGGTACTAAAAATAACAGGTATATATCGGTGTCGAAAAACGCGGGAAATACCAACCTTGTTTATCTCTCTTTATTTCCTTCTCGCTGTGACGTCATTTGAGTCCTTCGTTACACTGCTATCGATATCTATCATTAGAGCGTAAATTTGTAAACAACTTGAACAAGCTATGGTGTTTTGTGTGGCATTCAACTGTAACACTGGGTCAGGTCAAGGATATGGGTTGTTTACGTTCCCGAAAGACCCAGACAGGCGAAAGATATGGATACATAAGGTGAAGAGACAGAACTTTGTTCCCACAGAGCATTCCAGACTGTGTGCTAAACACTTTGACTTCGATCAGTTTGTAATAGATGCCAGAATTGCCTCGTCCGTGAAGTTTACACCAAAACAGAAAAGACTGAAAGCAAATGCTATTCCCACAATATTTAACCATAACAAGTCGGGGGAAAAGACTTCTGCCCTGGGAGCCAGTCCGGGTAAAAGAAAGAGAGTCAGACATGCATCTAGAGCATTGGAAAAGAGACGGAGATTAGAGGTATCTACATTATATATATTTCATTATTTTATTATAGGGAATAGGAGTCATTTGTGGTTATAATTTGGTTGGGGTAACCTAAATGACATATTTTGTATGGTGCTCAAACTGCATGGGCTGGGGCCCCAAAATATAGAAAAAGAAGACAGAATGTGCATTTCAGTTAGGATTATGTTATTATCTCTAGGCTTATATAGATTTGGGGGATCCCGTATGTGTATCCCCTACTCTAAACACAACACATAAATACTGAAATATAATTCCAAATGTAGACACCCCACCCCCCTCCCACCCCCTTATAGAGCTACATTTATAGGATAAAGGCATATATAAGGATTGATTAATTTGATTTCTGTTTTAGAAATTGTTCAATCCTTAAATTTATTCAGGTCTACAATTTCAAGTTTACTTTTATCCTTGATTGATTGAATGAATGAATGAATTTAATTTCTCATTAACTACAAATTACATAGTTACAGAGAATATATATGTATTAACAATTACATTAAATATTAAAGCACATGTGAACAATACAGATATAAACATTAAATTAAAAACTAACCAGGAGGAGTGACCCTCACATTTATAATTTTTATAAATCTACATAGTTTTAAATTTTTTCAAGAACAATATAGTTACTAGAGCTCGACCTCATTAATTGTTGATATTTATATACATTTGGACAAAAAGTACAATAGTGTGGTAACAACCTCTTTCTTTCTTGAGTTAGAGCATTACATGTCATAACATAATGATATTCATCACCTATGTCCTTACTGTATGGATTTATCTCATTGTGGAAGATCTAGACCAAAGGATGACCCTTAGTAAAATATACTCTTTCATTTGGTAAAGTAACTGGTGTTAAGCAGTCTCATTGGCAATAACAAACACATCTTCTTAGATTTATGCCTCATGAAAGTTAATAAAGATGCACTTCATTTAGCTGTTCATTCCAAATCTTTTTCATACAAAAGTATTGCATGTGATAAAAGGACATTATTCTAAATCTACTTACATGTAAATGCATATTTATCATTTTTAGATACAATGTACACCAAGTTTACTGTACTTACACAAAATGTACATACATGTATATGTACATTATTTAAAATATCTAATAGGTAAATTTTAATTACTATTTACATGAAGTTTATAAGGGACCACAGGTGAACATTTATTTTATATTTACATGTATGTCATGACCCAAATATCAAATTTCAATAAAAATGGATAAATCTATAAATGCTGTGATTCATTGAACAATTTATATGAAAGTGCAAGATGTGCTTATCATTATAAAAGTCACATTAAAAATAATTGTTTAACCTACATCATGTACATGTAGCTAAGAATAAGAAAAAAATATTTTGATTTGGCATAAGTTGAAATATATATACCGCAAGCTCTAAGCCTTAAAGAGTTTAATTTTGACTGAATAAATCTATATACAGGTAAATTGCTTTTAAAGTATTCAGTATTGCAATTTCATTTCAGATATTTCAGGGATTCAGTGGAGGCAAGGTGTCACTTGATAGTGAATTGACACAAGTGTTGGATATGAGTGCTGATGATGTAGAGGAATCTGAAAGTGTTTTTTTGAGTGAAGTAGAACCACATAACCTGGACACAAGTATGCCACTTGCAGTAACATGTTTGACAGACAAAAGACAGACATTTGAAATGTTTTCCCAGACTGATAACAAAATAGTGGTAGGTTTGAATGTCAATCACTGATCTTTTTCTATAATGTACCATTCTTCTTATAATAATTTGCTGTTAGGTTGCTGTCTCATTTACAATATTACACATTATATACCCAAACAAATGATATACTGAACTTACAGTGTACATTGTATATGTACATGTCAATATAAAAATTGAAAAATAGAATTGAGAATGGACACAGTATCAAAGAGACAAGCCAACCAAAAAGAGCAGAAAACAGCTCAATGACTCCTATATGGGTCTTCAGTCAGCAATTTATACATATATAAATATCAACAAAAACATAACAACACAGATGTATACACTATCAATTCAATTTAAAACTTTAAATTATGAACCTCCATCCTCCCCCCCAACAAAAAAAAAAAGGAAACAAAAGACTTCATTCCAACTTTAATCATAGCTTGGCTATTGTATTTGCTTACATACATGTAGCCTATGACAACAGTCGTTGGACATTACATTTTCTAGTAAGTGTGTCTGTATGTCTGATCACAAAGTAAATATATGAACAATATCGTTTACAATGAAGTTGCAGTCATTACAATTTGAAACTTATTAATAAACAAATATAGAAATAAGAAGATGTGATATGATTACCAATGAGACATCTCTCCACCAGAGACTAAATGAATAAACAAATATAGAAATAAGAAGATGTGATATCATTACCAATGAGACATCTCTCAACCAGAGACTAAATGATGTAGAAAATGTTTATTATATGGTGAATGAACTGCTTCGCTGAGCGCAGCTGGATACGCCCGCAGAGGTCCAACCCTGAACAGTTGGGGCAAAAATGGACACAATATTCAAGCTTGATACCGGTCTGAATTTGGATTGTAATTAGATATTTAACATATTATAGGTTTCTGAATAAATGTAGTCAAAGAACTTGAAAAAGTTATATGAATTGAATTTATGTTCAATTAAAGATTTCTTGCTGTTGTGCGATACACTCTGCTGTTGCGCAATACTTAGTAAATCTGTTGTCAGACTATAAACAAACAATAACTTCTCAATGTTATATCAGAAATTTATAAAAAAAAAATAAAGGGAGGTTATCTTAATACATATAAATCAGTCATCAAAGTTTAATGAAAACTGCTTTAAGCACTTTAAGGATATTGTCCAAAAACTTGAAAATCAACCCTTTTTATGAATAAAATCTTATAACTCGGAAACGTAAAATCATAAATTTATAAAAATCTGAAGGGAGCTTACAACAATAGATATACACAATTTACCAAAGTTTCAGAAAAAATGCTGAAAGCATTTTTGAGTTATTATCCGAAAACTGGAAAATCCCCCTTTTTGTAATGAATAAAACCCCATAAATCGGAAACATATAGTCTAAAATTTTTAAAAATCAAAAGGGAGCTCATGTCTATAGAAATAAACAATTCACCAAAGTTTCTTGCAAATGGGCGTATAAAAAAATTTAGAATTGTTAGTCAAATTAAAGTTTTGTTACTTCCTACATGCTTGCAGGTTAATACATGTAAATGTAATAGTATTTTAACAAATACAAATGTATGTACTTAAAATTGTATATGAGTAACATGTATGAATTATTTATTCTAATTCATTTATATTAAAAGCTAAGTAATGTCTCCTTCTTTTATTCAGTATCCTCAACAACATGCCCAGATTCAAGCTATCATTCCAATGACAGACAGTAGTACACAAACAGAAAATATCTTCATACCACCAGAACTATTTGGAAGTAATGCCAGCAGCCAACTTGAAACAGTTGAGGAAGAATTAAGTGATTCAGATGATCCTGAATGGGTACCATCAGATGAAGAAGATGAAATTGATAGGCTTGTAGATATCAATGAACAAAAAAATGAGGCTAAGGAAAGAAAGTTTATTGTTTTTGAGACTGAATTAAATGATTTATTTAGGGAATGTGTAGAATGTAGGAAAACCCTTACCTCAGAGGAAATAGTAAAAAAAGTGACTGGAACTTTAATTCAGATTAATATAAATTGTGATTGTGGGTATTCAAAAAGTTGGAAGAGTCAACCAATGTCTAATACCATGCCAGTTGGAAATTTAGTTTTAGCTGGTGCCATTCTGTTTTCAGGCAGTAATCCGAGTAAGGCATTCAACTTTATGAATCATGCTGGAGTTCAGTTTTTTTCACTGCGTACATATAATTATATGCAAACTGCCTACTTAGTTCCTGCAGTAAACTCAGTCTGGAATAGAAAACAGCTAGAACTAGTTGATGAGATTAAAGATTCAGGAAGATCATTAAAGCTTGGTGGTGATGCACGTTGCTGTTCACCCGGTCACACAGCAAAATATGGTTCATACAGTGTTATGGATTTGACAACATCAAAAGTGATAGATATGCAGTTGGTACAGGTAAGTTTGTGCAGTTCAGTTAAAATACCATGGTTAATATAAAAATGAAAATGTGGTATGAATGCCAATTTGACAACTCTCCACAAGAGACTAAATGACACAGAATAGAACAACTAAAGGTCCCTGTACGGCCTTCAACAATGAGCAAATCCCATACCGCATAGTCAGCTATAAAAGGCCCCGAAATGACAAATGGAAAACAATTCAAACGTGTAATAGTATTTGTTTCTCAGATACTATTATAGCAATATGTGAACTATATTTGGTGTATATTATAATTGCAATGTGCATATGGACTGTTAGTATGGTGAAAATGTCTGTTTTGCAGAGTTCATTTGACCTTGACTGTCAGTTGTGAAGAAAAAAATATCAAAACCTAATAAATATGTAGCCAAACTAGATTAAAATTGTTTTGCCGCTATATTTAGAATATATATATACTCACTGGTACAAAATTGTCCTGAACATGAATGCAATATTTGCTACTGGATGTTAAGCAGTCATAAATCAATCTATCTATTATATTGAGCACACTATAGATGCTAATTAAAAGACGTTTTATTTTTAGATAAAAATATAAAATATAGAATAACCTTTCTGCTCCTGATCAGTTTTACTGTCGTTAATATCACATATATATAATAATAAAATGATTACATTTTAACCTTTTTTTTAATAACTTGATTCACATATATATATATATATATATATATATTTTTTCAGAGCAATGAGGTAACAAATAATTATGCTATGGAACAAGAGGGGTTGATAAGATGTTTGAACTTTCTTCACAACCAACACGTTCAAGTATCCCACCTCATCACAGATAGACATAGCCAGGTGAAGAAGTTCATGAGAGAAAAGGAACCAAGCATCCAACACATGTTTGATGTATGGCATGTAGCAAAAGGTAAATTCATCAGTCTTGTGATATTACAATTGGTTGTTAGAACACAGTTACATGTACATGTATTTAAGGGTGGTGTCTCTATTTTAATTAGAATTATTCAGTACTTATTAAGTCCCATTCCTTTAATATTCAATAGAATAGAGAATGGAAATTGGTTACACCGGCAGTCTTTAATTTGACTACAAATTTGGTTTGATGTTAAGATTTATTTTCAAAGGGAAACAACTCCCAAGGAGAAAAAAAACTGTACATCTAGCTTGTCTTTAGAGCAGAAATATATACATTTGTCTTGCATAAACACCTTTTAATATTATTGTTACATAATAAAAGTTAACTATAATTTATAAAGAGTGATTCAAAGTCTAAATTATTGTTTTATCTCACAAAACTCCATATATATGAAGTTCTAATGTTATTAAAAAATGAAAAGTTTATTATTCAAAAATGTTTAGCCAAAATGGGACAATATATTTACAATGTAACTATCATCATCAAACTTTAAACAGGAATTTACAAGAAATTGGAACTGAAAGGGAAGTCATTAAAAAAAGGATACCAGGGCATTGCAAGATGGTCTAGATCAATCAGTAACCATATGTATTGGTGTGCTGCAAGTAGCAATGGTAACGGTGAGGAGTTGGTACAGAAGTGGCAGTCTGTATTAAAACATTGTGCTAATGTCCATGACGGCCATGGTGACCTGTTTCCAAATTGCTTGCACGGACCTTTGGAAGACAGAGAATGGATCAAAATGGGTAAACAGTTAATTTATAAGTTTATGGAATCTCGTTATGTAAAATTTGTTTCAGACAACAGATCTACTTTTCAGTCATATTATTTTATAAATAAATTTACAAATATACTTTACATTGTATTGATATTGAAAAAAAAATGATTTAACTGTTTATTTTGAGTTTTATTTATCAAACCACTATTTTAGAAATTGAGTGCTTCTTTATTGTAGATTTATATTTTATTGTACTAGTCATCAAATATGAATAGACAGTACTGTTAATAAGTATTAACATTTTTCATTTTATTATAGGATCACCTGCCTACGTAGAACTGGAAAAGGTAATATGTGGACGAATGTTGTTGAAAGACATCAAGAAGTTATCACCAGCAGAACAGACATCTGGGTTGGAGTCATTTCATAACATTGTTTGCTACTTTGCTCCAAAGTCAACACATTTCTTCTACTGGCAGATGAGGGCAATGTTTGTAAAAATTGAACAGTTAGCAAACTGTTACCATGTTAAAAACACTTGCATACTGAAATAAAATGCTCCACTGGGCGCAGCTTGATACGACCGCACAGGTTGAACCCTGAACAGTTGGGTCAAGTATGGACACAACATTCAAGCTTGATACAGCTCTAAATTTGGATTGTGATTAAATATTTGACTCAGCAGAGGGTTCTGACACAGAATGAATGTGGTCTAAGAACATAAAAGTTTTTTTTTAATTTACCTATTATGGTCCAATATCCAAAATCTAAATACATAGATAAAAGAAGATGTGGTATGAGTGCCAATGAGACAACTCTCCATCCAAGTCAAAATTTATAAAAGTAAACCATTATAGGTCAAAGTATGGTCTTCAACACGGAGCCTTGGCTCACACCGAACAGTAAGCTATAAAGGGCCCCAAAAATTACTAGTGTAAAACCATTCAAATGGGAAAACCAACGGTCTAATCTATATAAAAAACAAGAAACACTTATGAACCACATCAACAAATGACAACTACTGAACATCAGATTCCTGACTTAGGACAGGTGCAACTAAATGCAGCGGGTTTTAACGTTTTAATGGTACCAAACCTTCACCCTTTTTCTGAAACAATAGTGTAACATCATAACATAGAAAGACACACTATATATAAAATATCAACTGAAATAGCTTAACTCAATCAAAGCACATATTAACACCAGTGAACATACACTGAACAAATAAATTTGACCTATGATACAATGTAAATATAAAATAAATAAACTAAGAGAAAAATAATAAAAGTAACATGTTATACCGGTATGAAATGTAAAACAATTTAAGAAAAACAATATGGCCGAACAAAAATATCAGCCATTTGCAAATACTTTAAACGGTTACGGTTAGATTCAGTATAACAAAGAACCCCAATAATTCATTTTTTGTTAAAATCAAACTAAGTTTAATTTTGGACCCTTTGGACCTTAATGTAGACCAATATGAAAACGGGACCAACAATTAAGAATCTAAATACACGGTTAGATTCAGCATATCAAAGAACCCCAATATTTCAATTTTTGATGAAATCAAACCATATCATTATTATTTGCTTTTATATATAAATAAAAAATAACCAACTTAAAATGGAAAATTTTAAAGAAAAAAAAATCCCTCCCCCCCCCCCCCAATTTTTCTGAATCCCCTTATGATTCATCACCCCCAAACTCAATCCCAGCCTTCCCTTTATGGTATGGTACCTTGCAGTACAATTTCAGAGAGATCCATACACTTGAACAGAAGTTATTGTCTTGAAACTGTAAAAATGCTTGTTTTTTTGCCCCAAATTCCTAAACGGTTAGGGCAATTACCCCCAAACTCAAACCCAGCTTTCCCTTTGTGATATGAAACCTTGTAATACAATTTCATAAAGATCCATATCCTTACACAAAAGTTATTGTCCTGAAACTAGAAAAATGCTTGTTGTTTGCCCCTTTTTGGCCCTTAATTCCTAAAATTTTGAGGCAATTACCCCCAAAATCAATCCCAGCATTCCCTTTGTGATATGGAACCTTGTGGTACAATGTCAGAGAGATCCATACACTAACACACAAGTTATTGTCTGGAAGTTACAAAAATGCTTAATTTTGGCCCCTAATTCCTTAACTGTTGACACCATAACCCCCAAAATCAATCCCAACCTTCCTTTTATGGTATTGAACCTTATTGTAAAATTTCACAGAGATCCATTCACTTAAACTAAAGTTATTGTGCGAAAACCAATGTGTCTTCGGACCACGACGACGCCGCCAACATCATTCCAATATACGATCGCAAATTTTGTTTGCGGTCATATAAAAAATGTATTGTTGCAATTTAATTCATTTTACACTTTTTGTGTTTGCTTGCTTGATTAAATTGTAAGTTTTTATAATTAGGTTAACCTCATTTCCTCAGTTGCTGCCAAAAATGTATACTTTATATGATAATAGTCAAATATCAGACTGCAATGGACTTCCAACTACTAAATTAAAGGCTCTTGGCTAGAGACAGACATATATAAGATTGATCATGTTTGTGAGTGGTGAAAACCCCCAACCTAATATAACGAGAGCAATTTTTAAAAACAGAAATATGAATTGGCTTGTCATGAGATTACCACATAGCAGAAAATACACAGTTAAAAGACTAAAAGTACAAATTTTTGAGTATTTGTATGCATGTTATTTAGATTCACCACTATGTATCATTTTGAAAAATATACTTTAATACCTATATTTTTCTGTAGAATTTTGCATGTTTATACATGAGTAGTCACCTTCAAATTGTTTTCATGAAATAATGTGATATTAGATAATAATTAATGTAATCCAACATATACATTGCAATTTTTTCAGACTTTTCTAAAGTGTACTGCACTTTAATGAAAACACCAGTAGGAGTCAGACAACCACAGCACAAGGAAGACCTCAATTTAGTATTTCCTATCCAAAAGGAAGGAAAGGTGATGCAATTGCTAAGGAGGTTAAAGTCAAACAAACTTTCGGTAAGATTTTGCCATTTAAGACATTTATACTGTTTTACCTCCGTCCGTCCATCAGTTCGTCCGTCCAATGAATATTTTCATCCCATCTTTCTCAGGAACTACATTATGAGGATTTCTGAAATTAGGTTTCAGGGTTAATATAAGCTAAGTCAGCTATACCGTTTGATGCAATTTTAGATTCATCATTCAACAACTTCCTGTTTACCGAAATTTTTAGGCAGAGGTATCATCAGTGAGCAGTTTTTTTTGGATCTTATCAGCTGATAACTTCAAGTTGCTAGAACAATAAAAAGTTTCAACAAAACAGACAAAATGGAAGAACAACTGTAAAAAAAACCTCATTCATGACAATAACTCCTATAAAGATTTGTCAGACAATATTTTTGCAAAATGCATTGTGAAATGTATGTAGATTTTTACATCTTTAACATATCTGCCATTGTAAAAAAAAAATTTCTATTTATAAGGGTATCATGGATATGGATAATGCCCTGCATTTAAAAAAAATATTGAAAGTTCTCCACAATTACTAGTATCAGCCATGCTGGACATGCTGAATGATTCAAGCTTTTTTGTTCCTATGTACATTAGTTTATTTACAATTGAAGTAAACTATTTACAATTTTATCTTTAAAGGTTATGTTGATGACCTTATGGAAGAGTTGCTGCTATATCGAGAGACATATCCATCTTACAAGAGTGACTTAGATATAGCAGCAGTTGACAAAAGACTGGTTGTGCCACCTCCATTATCAGATCAGGCAAACAGACAAGAAAAGGAGAATGTGATTCAACAACATATCAATAGATTTAACAATGAATAAATGTGATAAAGATTTTATTATCAGCTATATAATTTGTGTAGTCATTTTGGGTATTTAAAGCCTGTATATTGTTCAGCTGGGAACTGTTCCCTTATTTTGCCAACAATACATGATGGCAAAACAACTCTTCTGTGTTTTCCTAGTACATGGTAAATCCACCTGGTAAACCTTCTATATGCCAAATATCTGTAATTTCTGAAAATGAGAAAGTATTCAGTACTAGTTTGAAAAATGAAATATTACTGAACAAACAATGTGTCTTAGTTATTTTTGTTGTTGTGTTGCTGTCCAATATATATTTATACCCACATCTTTTTTATTCATAGATATAAGGAGATGTAGTATGAGTGCAAATGAGACAATTCTCCATCCAAGTCACAATTTGTAAAAAGTAAACTATTATAGGTCAAAATAAGATCTTCCAACATGGACCCTTGATCACACTGACAGCAAGCTATTAAGGGCCCCCAAAAATGAATAGTGTATAACCATACTTACTAGAATCTGTAATATATTAACTCTAGTGGAGAAGAACTGTGCAAGACACTAATAAAAACCACCCTCAACAGTGGAATTATTGTCACTGAGACAACTATCCACCAGAGACCAAATGACACAGAAATTATTTACACAAGGTTTATATTCATTGATGCATCCCGAATTAACTGCTGGTATAGAAATATATGAAAAGCAAACATGAATTGCTTTATATGCATTTATAGTCTCTGTGCCAGTCACAAACACATTTGCAAGGAGGAGTGATTATTTGTAGTTGAATTTAATATGTTAAAAACCTAATCACAGAAAATTCATTGACTTCTTGGCTTGTAACATTAAAAATACAACAGTTGTCATGAGCAGATCAAGTAGTGTGAAGCCTCCAAAAACAAAAACTGTTAACACAGAGATATGTCTCGCCTATTTGCTATTTTGATAATGCAAATGTTGATATTAAAATAGCAATACTTTAACATGTTATAAGTTTTGCAAATATTCAACGTCAATGAACCATGACTGAAGGGACATCGCTAAACAATCTCCATGGAAATGAGATGTGCCAATACTAATACAACCGCATAGCAAATACCATGGACTTTTCATAAACCTTTAAACAAACCTAAAGATACACTGTGAACACAGAGATATGTCTCGCCTATTTGTTATTTTGATAATGCAAATGTTGAACTAAAATATCAATACTTTAACATGTAAGTTGTGCATATTCAAAGTCAATGAACCATGACTAAAGGTACATGGCTAAACAATCTCCATGGAAATGAGATGTGCCACTGCTAATACAATTGCAAACCAAATACAATTGACCTTTCATAAGTCATTCCCTTTAAACAAACCTAAATACAAACATTAACTTGTAAACTATGTAAAAGTTTCAAAGTCAATGAACCATAATCAGGCGGTGGGGTTATATAATCTCCATGGAAATGAAACTTGCAAATGCCAATACATTTGCATACCGTATATTATTGACTTAACATTAGTAGTTCATCTTAAACTGACCTAATCACAAACTAATACATGTAAACTCAGTAAAAGTTACAAAGTCAATAGACCATGACTGAGGGATAAGGACCAACTATTCTCCACGGAAATGAGGTGTGCTAATGCTTATACAACTGTATACCAATTATCATTGACCTACCACTAACAGTTCCCCTTAAACTGACCTAATCATAAACTATAATACATGAAAACTAAGCAAAAGTTTCAAAGTCAACAGACCATGAATGAGGGGGCGGGGCCAAATAATCTCCATGGAAATGAGATATGCCAATGCTTATACATCTGCATACCAAATATCACTGACCTACCACTAGTGGTTCCTCATAAACTGACCTAATCACAAACTAATACATGAAAACTAAGCAAAGTTTCAAAATCAAAAGACCTTGACTGAGGGGGCAGGCCAAATAATCTCCATGGTAATGAGATGTGTCAATGTTAATACAACTGCATACCAAATATCATTGACCTACCACTAGTGGTTCTCCAAAAACTGACCTAATCACAAACTAATACATGTAAACTAAGCAAAGTTTCAAAGTCAATAGACCTTGACTGAGGGGGCGGGGCCAAACAATCTCCCTGGTAATGAGATGTGCCAATGCTAATGCATGTACAACTGCAGACCAAATATCACTAACTTACCACAAGTGGTTCACCATGAAGTAGACCTTATCACACAAACTAATACATTGTTGACGCCGCCGCCGCCGCCGCCGAAAACAGCATACCTTTGTCTCGCGTTTTGACTCCGTCAAGGCGAGACAAAAACCCTAGATTTCATACATGTACCATGTACAATGTACAGGGTAATTCACTAATTGACAGATTTGTGTTGGCAAAATTAAAGAATAAAGTACAAATGATACATGTCAGTGTATAATGAAGGGTTACTTTCTACTTGCATCATGTGCATTAGCCAAGTGACAGTATACTTACTCATGAATCATTTGGTTTGGATCAAATGGACCATTTTCTTGTAGGTATTCATAATACGATGTTTCCAAGACATAAATGTTTAGACAGTTCGCCACAAATCCCTCATGGTGAGTAATACATGTGATGGCAGCCTCCTCAAGTTTTCCATCTACAATGTTGGTCTCTTGGCAGCACTTGGACTCTTGTACAGTGGGCATTAAGGAACAATTCTCACACTTGCACCTATACATAATAGAAGATTACTAAATAAATATATGAATTTTACAATAGACTAAAATTATGTGAGTTGTACAATTAGGTACAAGTATATTGAATGAAGGCAGCAATTGTCACATGTTTATAGCATGTTCTATATACAACATGTACAAGATGGTATGGTTATAAGGGTTGGTCAATAGATGAAATCACTCCATAGGGATATATTTATATCAACTCTGCAAGTGCATGTATCTTATGTATTACAAAATGCAATTGATAACAAATACATGTAAAGCCATGATTTTTCATTAACAACTTCATTACTTGATAATCATGTCAGAGTTGGAGTTTTTACAGAGAATCCATCTGTTCTAGCAAATAACAGAGAAATATTCTTAATTTAATAAATGAATACCTGATACAGTTATATATTTTTAGAAATCATGATCGATTAACAATGATTGAGAATGGAAATTAAAAATTATATTTGTTTAACCCTTATAGTCAGCCACTGTAATACTAGATAAAAAAAAACATATATCTGTGTAAAATAAACCACAACTTTAAATGTATTTAAACTTCGATCTCACACCCCCGCTCTCAGGGTCCAAAGCTATTAAAATATACATGTATGTACATATATGACATGTCGCTGATCACACCAACATTAACAAGTGCTATGATGTAAAATTAGTTCAAAATAAAAACTGATTGAACATATACATTTTGTAATTTTTAAAATGTTCAATAATTCATAAAAAAAAAATGTCTACACACACACACACACATATACATGTACATTTTACATGATCATAATGCACATGTTATATATACATGTACATTTTACATGTACATGATAATGATGCACATGTTCACTGTACAATACAACACACAATTGTTTTCATTTATTTTAGTATTACCACTATATATTTTCTGATACTTATATCTAATATCATGACATTTAGAGAGGTTCCTCAGTAAAGAACTCAGATTATATACTTTCCATTTTATGCTTTCTATTATTTTTAAATTCAATTATACCTATACCTTTATACCTTTATCTTCGGGTCCTTAAAATAAGCCAAAGGCTTCTACTGACCCCTCATCTTGGATTGTCGTAATGCAATTTCTCCTCTCATAATAAACGCATAATAATATATTTATATATATTATACTTATAAAAATAGAACTTATTTAGGTGTGCGCAGCTTAACAATTAACATGAACATATAAATTTATATGGGTTCCAATTCTCGCCATTTAAAGCTGACTTAAATTCATTCAAAGTCTTTGCCGTCACTGTAAAATCTGACAGGTTATTCCACTGATCCACTACTCTAATTGAAAAAGTATTTAGTCTATGTGTCGTCTTACACTGTTTCTTAAATAGTTTTAATGAGTGACCTCTAGTATTATTAGATGGTGCTTAAGTAAATAAGCTTATCCAGTTTATATCATCTATACCGTGCAACGCTTTATATACTTGTATCATATCATTTCTATCCCTACGATATTCCAAGGTTGGCAATCCCAATGAGAATTAAAACCAACAAGATACATTGTATACACTCAACCCCTTGTTATTTCCCTCTTCCCTAACCCTCTACTTCAAATTTAATCTCCTCTACTCTCTGCCCCTCCCCTTTCTCATGTTCCCTTACCCCTTACTATAAATAGTTAACAGTATGTAATAATCGGATGGAATATTGTATACCGAAAGTAAAAAAGGAGGTTGCAATGTACAGACTACAGTGTTGACCAACCTACTTATCATTATATTATGATTACTAAATGCGGTTATATATTCTTCAATAAATATTTTACGAACCATGATGTATTTTGAAGCCGCCAGGCTGTTGACAGATTTATTTCTTCACTTCCATCTTCACCATCGGATGTAGAACTGTTGGATTCTTCATCATTGACATCAAGTTCATGCGATTCAGAACCCGTAATCCTCTGAACTACAGGCTCGTACATGTACGGTTGTACTGATATCACTAAGTTAACTTCGGGAATGTCTTCTTGTTCACGTTCATCGTCTGTGAACCGATAATCCATAGTTGTATTGTCAATGAGGGTCGGCTGAAAACAAACCTTTTCGACAAAAGAGATGATTTCAGCTTCCCAATTGTGAACTTTCCATTTCTATGTAGCAACATTCCAGCAGCGCCTGCATACGGAGTATATATCTCCCAATTGATACGATATTCCCAGGCTTGTGTTTCTTATCATGATTTCCTTAATAGAGGATTGCTGATCACAAGGAAGCTATTAAACCAAGAGTCCCAAATGGTGAAGTTGAAGTCATCCCTTTGTAAATTTTACGGACGCCATCACGAGTTGGTTGACCGTTATGGAATAACCGTTTCACAGATGATATCGGATATGTTCCTTATATAGTAACTACAATACCCTCCCTTTTCACGAATGTGACTTACCGAATTAGACTATTTACCGGATTTGTAATAACATAAGCAACACGACGGGTGCCACATGTGGAGCAGGATCTGCTTACCCTTCCGGAGCACCTGAGATCACCCCCAGTTTTTGATGGGGTTCGTGTTGCTTAGTCTTTGGTTTTCTATGTTGTGTCATCTGTACTATTATTTGTCTGTTTGTCTTTTTCTATCTTTGGCCATGGCGTTGTCAGTTTGTTTTCAATCTATGAGTTTGACTGTTCCTCTGGTATTTTTCGTCCTTCTTTTAAACAATTCATTAAATCAAAAATCAATAGTATCGATCAAGACAATTTCTTACTACAATGTTAAAGTGTTAATTTATAACAATGAGTTAATCCAAAAGAATGATAAGAGTTCATGTTTTGTAGCTTAAAAGGCAAGTTTGAATATTATTCTGATATGCGCTTTAGATAGAGAAAATCTTACCAAGGCAAAAATGTAAGAGTGTTGAGATATACCTAGACCCCACTATATCAAAACTGTTAGACGATTTATTATAGGAGCTTTTGCCCTTTAATTACTTATTTTTCCATTTATTTTTTTTCATTTTTGCTTATTTTCTTGATATTAAAAAAGGAAGAGAGGAGAGAAACTAAATTATCAGCAAGACAAGTTCTTCAGTGCATATGGAGCAGAAAATTTGCCTTGCAATAAGCCATCTGCAGGTCTCTCTATGAGTTGTTCCAAAGATTCTTAAACGTCTTAGTAGCATTGCGATATCATTACATGAACAATTGGATTTGACGTCCCAATTCTGACCGGACGTGGCTGCGAATTTGTACACCACTATTATTCAAACGGATGCCCAACTTTAGCAGACGTTTAACTGTTTGTCGAAATAAAACCTTGATGAACCTTTTTCTATACCCCGTTCTTCCTTGGGGTTTTAATTAATTGATAGGAACTAAGAAAACAGAAAAAATAGGGCGTTGGTAAAGAATACAATAAAGGGATGTCTTTAGTATAATATATATAAAACTTCACCAAAGACGTCAGGCTTATATTTTGGTATGTCAGACGCCGTCTCATCTACATGAGGTTCATCAATGGCGTTCGAATAAAATTGTTGGAAGGGAAAACCAATTACAATAGGTTGGAGAGCGTTGAAATTAAAATCCCTTATTTACAAATAATATCCAACAGTATACTTTTTCATAGTATTTCTAGTAAAATTCATTATTTCGTAATCAAGAGACTCGGAATAAACTAAGATCTCATGGCTGGCGAATTACTCATATAAATTGCCATATCATTGTAGACTACTAGAAGAAACATGCAGCTGTTTTCTCAAGTCGTCTATAATGAATTTGCAGTAGCTTTCTCAAGTAAAGTGTCAGCCATATTTAACACGATAACGTACTTCAAGTAATACTTAACATTTAATCAATTTGATAGGTATTGTGGGCATAAAGAATCAAATGGGACAACTAATAAAAACATTACATGTGTATTGCACTGTCTGAAGACAAACACTATACCTAAGTTATTATTTATTAGAAATTGAAATATTTCCATTGATTTTTAAACTAGAATCGAAAAAATTCATAAATATAAATAAGAAGATGTGGTATGAGTGCCAATGAGACAACTCTCCATCCAAGTCACAATGTGTAAAAAGTAAACAATTATAGGTCAAAAGTACGGCCTTCAACACAGAGCCGCGGCTCACGACGAAGAGCAAGCTACAAAGAGCCCCAAAATGACTAGTGTAAAACAGTTCAAACAGGAAAACAAACGGTCTAATCTATATAAAAAACGAGAAACGAGAAACACTTATGAACCACACCAACAAACGACAACAGAATATTTCATCGTAGGAAATACATTTTGAAAGAGAGGTAACTCTGCAATTGTTTTAAACAAACCAAAAGCCTAATCACAATACTGTCGTACTGTTTACTCGGATGTATTTTACATTTAATCAATTTGGTTAGGTATTGTTGGCACAGATGGTCGTAAGGGATAACTAAGAAAATGAATAAATTCGTATAGCATTGTCTAAAGACTTGATAATGCATTTAATGCATGTTAGCATATATTCTTATTCTCAACATCGTCTTTTTTTTTTTTTTTTTTGATTACTTTTAAAAATAGTTGTAAATTTAAAAGCAAGACCTCATCTTTTTTTTTAAATTTTTACCATAATCCTATCAATGAATAACATATTAAATCGTGTATTTTATACAATGTTTATAATAGTAATTGTTTTATTTGTCTTGATGAATTGTCCAAACGGAAGATGCAAATTATATAAGCTTATTTGAGTTCACTTAACAGTCGAGGCAAATAGGAAATACCATAATATTATGAAATTTCATAATTTTATTGATATATTGGATCAAAGTGGAGTTGTCTTTCTTAGACGCCTAGTGTCAAAATGGACATGGGAGATAACAACTTTTGTCTTAAACGACGTCGAAAGGAAGACAACTCATTATTATAAAAAGTTAACATTTAAAATATAAATTTGTATAACAATTTAGGAATTTATTAAATTGTGTTCGAACTATGGGTTTTATTATACACAAGGAGTAACTCTAGATAAATCAAACTTGACTAAAGATTATTTAAAATCTGGTGTAATGCACTAGAAAGAATCATTATATTTATAACTATTTTATCAGTCTCCGACATAGCAAATCATGCATGTGGAGGTCAATTGCGAATTTATTTACAGTTTATTTATTATGTAAACAAATTAAAGACCGTAAAATCATGCGAAATCACAGAAAAATATTTCTAAAAAAAACACTGTAAAATATGTTTGAAAATCTAACAACGGGAGATAAACAAACAATCGAATTCCTTACAAAAACTGATAACTATGACAATAATTATTACGTTCTGTCAATAGCCTGTGTACAAATAAGCATAGACATTTATGCGATTGATGCGGATCTGACATTACAACATTAACAATCTACAAAGCTGAAAAGTAATTCTTTGCATCATAGCAAATTATTAATGTCCAAATGATGGACATTGGCTATCTGATAAAGAAAATAAATTCACTAAAAGCTTAAAAACAAACAGCAAAATGTCCATAATATGTTATATATACGTAGAATTCTGAGTTAAGGTGAATTAATTGTAACAAAGAATATTTATACCTTTAATCTTTTTTAATTGCACATGCTCATGGAGATAAAACACATTTGGCAAATAACCTATTGTTATTTGGAAAGAAACTACTCAGCATAAATCGATCGATGACAATTTGTTCACCATGGTTCCAGTTGAATGTCAAACTATTTGTACATTTAAATGCGTATTATGTGCATATTTCTACGTACATTTGTCAGATATTTCTATATGAAAGAAGTGATTGTATACAAATGCTTAAGTTAAAGCAAGATAACACTGAAAAGTATTGATTCAAAACAGTTACAGCAGTTAAAAACAGAGCATAAGTAAGGTCATAAAGTCTCCTCACGGCATTCCCACCTCAGGATATCACGTATTGATGACTTCTGACCAGGCAAAATAAATTATCTTAGTCAAAATGATATTTCAAGCTAATTAAAATTAAAAAAAAATCAGAACAAGATCTGAGATAATCAGTACTGTTATTGTAGTGGGGTGGGTGGCTAGGGAGTCGTTTTCTGTCGATTACGAGTAGAGCATGGCATCATTTGAATCAGATACTTTGGTAACGAGTATATTGAATTAAAATGATTTTCATATTTTGATTTCATTCATTAGAATTTAAGTTAGAGAATTTAATAATTCGCAGTCATTTAAGATAAAAATAAAAAAAAACACAATATTAAAAAAGTGTTCCAACAAGAAGGAAAAAAAAAGACGAATGCGTATGAACAAGGGACCCATATCTTATTCGTCCTTCATATGCATATTTGTGATTCTGCAACACAATGGAGTAAACATTTGAAGGCGTTAAATACATTACTAAGTAACCTTTGCAGAAATAGTCACATGATATGAATCATATTACAATTTATAATGTGAAATGTAAATAATTTGGAATACAATTTTCTTCGGTTCACATCTGTGTTTGTTGGTACTCTTATCTAAGGGCACCTGCTGGGAGAGATGTACTTCCTAATAATTTAACAAAATATATAAATAACCAGTGACACAGTTCCAGGCTTACTGCTAGTGCAGTTTTATAGAATAGTATAATAATCTACATTGGAAAAGATTGAAAGAAATTAGATTTGAAAGTATACATGAATTGCATTACATGACTCGTAGGGTTTTATTTGAAATGTAAATACCGTGCATTTTTCAAAGTAATAATTTGTCCACACACAATGTTTATAAGTTTTTATACAGTTTGCAGATTCAGATTAAATAAAAAAAAAGTATCGCCACTAGAATAACATAAAATATTCAAATACACGTATAAAGCATAGCTATAGTGAATAAATTAATAATAATAATTGATCAATGAAATCATAGAATGATTTGAAGATAAAATATTAATTCGACTGCAGACCAACAAATCAAACAACACAATACAAAATAACGTAAAATAGAGTTTTAACACCATCCAATAAGAAGTTTCAATAGATTTAGAAAGATTAGATAAATGCTCATCTAAATATTTCCAGCTGAAGATTAAAATCATAATATAGTTACTACTC